TTTGGATGGGTAAATGGATACACAGCAAGAGGAGCAGAAATGATACCCAGCATTCCTGTGGTAAATATAGATGTGGTTGCATGCAGGGAGGATAGGCACATAAACAGCGAGATGCCAGTTGGGGAAATCCAGTGCGCATGGCAGAGGTAGAGGGATAGGGAGGGGAAGACAGAGACAGGACGCATCAGCTCAGTTGGTTGTTAGACTCACGGAAGGCTCCCAGTGCTCATGCCGCTCTCTGCCGTCCCAGCAAACGGATTATTGTTCAATCCGATGCAACCCCCCAGCCATGTTATCCCCTCCCCTCCCTTCCGCCCCCCCAACCCCTTCGGATAAAGCATGTGCTTTGCTATGATCAGCAGAGCTCCACAAGACCACTCATGGAACGGCTGTTGAGCTGATGCCGCCTGACTGCACGGGAACCTGATCATACAAGCCGAGGCACCGATGCATGTAGTTCGCGCGGATCACCCTGCAGTCGCCCGCGCCACCAGGGGCACGCTGCACGGTGGTGGACGACCTGATGGCGGCAGCTGTGGTGGCATCGAGCGTGGTGCAGTTGTCGTACGGCAGGCGCAGGGTGTAGGCCGCGGGCGTGAAGCCAAAGCTTGGCAGCATGTAGAAGGTGAAGCTGGTGGAGGAGACGGTGGGGGTGGCGCCTGCAGTGGGAAAGGGAGCATGGTGTGGCGCGGGGAGAGAGACGGAGATGCGACGAGGGGAATGGGGGTGTGGAAGGTGAAGCCAGTGGAAGAGACGGGGGTGCCGCCTGAATGAAAGGCGAGGAGAGCACAGAGCGGGGAGGGGGGGGGGTGTTTGGGGGGGGGGAACGGTGTGGAGGGAGTAGGAGAAGATTGTTGGGGTGTTGGGCGATGAAGATTTTTACCAAAGCGTGGACACAAGCTGTAGCCTATATCCTAGATCCTAAACCTTCCCTACAACCTGGAGCCGGCAGAGGAGACGGTGGGGGTGGCGCCTTGATGGGAAGAGGGCATGGCATGGCACGGCATGGCATGGCATGGCACGGCATGGCACGGCATGGCACGGCATGGCATGGCACGGCATGGCATGGCATGGCATGGCATGTCATGGTATGGCATGGCACGGCATGGCATGGCATGGCATGGCGTGGCATGGCATGGCATGGCATGGCATGGCATGGCATGGTGTAGTGAGCACAGCCTAGAGAGGGATGGACCATTCGGGTAGGGTGTGGAGTGAAATGATTGCTAGGGGGCGTTATGCCATGCCCTCAAAGGCAAGATGCTCAAGGTGAGGAAGGAACAAGGGGCAAAACGTGCACTGTGAGTTGTACCTAGCATGCATGCATGCACTCGCCACTCCCAACATGCAAGCACCACTCACCACACCTTGCATCCAAGCACCACTAACATTGAAGCACCAGTAACATGCAAGCACCGGTAACATGCAAGCGCCGGTAACATGCAAGCACCGGTAACATGCAAGCACCAATAACATGCAATGCAAGCACCACTAACATGCAAGCACCAGTAAGCACCCCTAACATGCAAGCACCACGAGTTTGCCATACCTTGCACGCAGCCAGTGTTGGTCATGCCATAGCCGGGAGCACACAGGCAGTATGCAGCTGAGGTGTTGGGCACCTGGGTGCACGTGGCTGCCACAGGGCACTTGCCACACGGGCTGGTGGCTGTGGAAAGGGAGAGAAGAGGGGAGCAGGGAGGGCGAGAAGAGGGGAGCAGAGAGGGAGAGAATAGGGGAGCAGAGAGGGAGAGTATAGGGGAGCAGAGAGGGCGAGAAGAGGGGAGCAGAGAGGGAGAGAATAGGGGAGCAGAGAGGGAGAGAATAGGGGAGCAGAGGGTGAGACACTGCAGCACACAGCCCATGCAAGGCTAAGCACAAAGCAGCACGTACCACCGCAAGCACAGGAGCACGTACCACCGCAAGCACAGGAGCACGTACCAATGCATGACTTGCCATCAGGCTGCAGGTTCATGTCTGGGTCGCACACGCAGGACGCTTTTCCTTCAGTGTCCACCTTGCACGTGGCGTTGGCCCCACACGCCAGGGCCTTACATACGTCTGCGAAGGGGGGGAGAGGGGGGGGAGAAGGGGGGGGCGTGGAAAGAGAGAAGAGATTTGAGTTGATTCAAGAGTCAGCAGTGTCTATCTTGGACGTGCTGCTGGCAGCACCGAGCATGGGCGTACAAAGGTCTGGGAGGGGAGGCGGGAAGGAGAGGGGAAGGAGGGAGGAATCCACAGAGCATGGTACGCTTTTGAGTCGACTCAAAAGCTACGCATGGACGCTGTGCTGCGAAACAGACTTTGCTGCAGAGGAGCGGCTTTTGAGTTGACTCAACAGCTGAGGGGGAGGAGGGAGGGATCCGTAGAGCATGATGCGCCTGATGGTTGTGGTGCGAAACAGACTTTGCTGCTATGAGCAGGATCAGTTGCATCGCAGCAAGCCAATGGGAGGAGAGGAAAAATGGGAAGTGCGCATATGCAGGCAGGCATGCACTATGAAAGTTTGCGAGCAAGGGAGCAGGAAAGGTGAGTTCGCGTGGCATCAGGTCCTAAGGGGGTGGGGCAAAACCTGCACTCTGGGTGTGGGGAAAAACCCAGCTGACGCGAGTAATGCTCGCCCTGCCATTTGCACCATCACATGCACCAGCACCATCACATGCACCAGCACCATCACATGCACCAGCACCATCACATGCCCAGCACCATCACATGCACCAGCACCATCACATGCACCAGCACCATCACATGTACTGGCACCATCACATGTAATGCCAGAGTCAGTGTTACAGCCTTGCGATACTCCAAGACTTAACCAAGGATCTTTTCTGGAATGGTAGATTAATAAGACAGCGGAAGTCTTAGAACTTGTAAAGTGTTGACCAGAATTTACTAAGGAATAAGTTAACAATTGAAATTGTACAAGCTACTTTTATATCTACTAGAAGTACCTATTCGGTAATGTACCTGCTCGAGCTATTTGCGCTATGCGCTCTAACCGCTACTGAAAAGAGCGCGACTGTTTGCGTAACTGAAACGGCTTGCTGACGTAATCATCCAGACGAGCGCTATTTGCTGACGTCATTCTACGAAACGGATGCTAACTACAGTGTAACTCGACAATATATACCGGAACTATTTACAGAAATGCTTAAGTACGATTTTATCACAACAGTTGTAGACTATATAGGCAGGGCTGATTTTATCAGACTATTTTAGTCTGATTGTCTGAAATTTCGGACCTATTTTTTTGCCAATCCTGATTTTTCAGACTTGTCATTTTCTGAATGCTGAACCCTTCAGAGTTATATGCTTTTTAATCCTGAGAATCTCAGACTTCGCAGTTTGTTGATACTGAGTTTTCATAGCGCAGCGTGTACGGACCCTGAGACACACATACCACCTACCTGCCCTCACCCAAAAATTTCGTCTAAGTCCCCAAGGGCCAAAGTCAAGTCCTTTCACACACACCCTGCCCCGCAACCTAAACAATCCGGCTAAGTCCTAGCAGCCAGAGACAGTTCCCCCCAGCACATTTCTTCCCTACTCGCCTCGCAGCCCCAGAAATTCGACCAAGTCCCCACAGACAGACACATCCCTCCCACACCTCCTGCGACCCTGAAATTACGGCTAAGTCCCCACAGCAAGAAATATCCCTCCCGCAACCTGAAAAATCGGCTAAGTCCCTTGCACCCATAAAAAAAATCCTCCCACAAACCCCCGCAACCCGCAATCCTGCTTATTACCCGACTTTTTTGAAGTTCCTAAAAGGGGTAACAAGAAAAACATTCATCTGGCTGGCGATTTTTTTTTTCTGATTTCTCATACGATGTGAAACTAACTCTAAAAAATCAGACTGTCCACGGCTCAATTGAGGGAGTGTTTTTTCCAACACCACACTTTCAGGCAACTGATTTTGCAGTCAAATTTGCCCGTCAAAAACAGTTTTGATACAAAGTGTCGTGACGTTGTATCGTGTAGGAACAGGCCCTAAGGGGGAGAATTCGAAAAGGAGGGGAGGGGGAATCGAATTCGAGGGGGAAAGGGGGAGGGAATCAAAACCGTGGGGAGGGGTGAAGCGAAATGGAGGGGGGGGGGGGGGGGGGGGGGGGGAACGAAACGGAGGGGAGGGGGGGGGAGGGAGGGGGGAATGAAACGGAAGGGAGGGGGGTGGGGGGGGTCGAAACAGAGGGGAGGGGTGGAAGCGAAACGGAGGGGAGGGGGAAGCGAAACGGAGGGGGAGGGGGGGGGGGGGGTTTCGAAAATGGAGGTGGAGGGGGGAGGATCGAAACGGAGGTCGGGCGGGAAGCTGTGGAATTGGGCGATGGGAGGAACTTCACGCCATTGCAGCGCCGCGGTTGATCGATCGTGGACGTTTATCACTTGCGACCATCGAATGGTTAAAAAACATCGAAACGATCGCAATCGATCGTGATCGTCACATTTTTATAGAATTTCAGTTGACCAAACGGGCAGCTGTCGAGAATTTCGCCTAATAGGAACGACTGTTATTAGAATGCGGAATTTACTCTTAGTCGAATGCAACTTAAAAAGAAAGAAAGAAAAAATCCTCTCTCCTAGTTGCCAAATCAGTTTTTTTTTTTTTTTTTTTTTTTTTTTTTTTTTTTACACGCCCTAATGAAAAGGCAAACTTTTGCTAGGAAACACTGATGAATCCACGTAATTTTTCTTGACGAAAAGCTGATGAATCATGGTACCCTAAAACCAATCGTGGGGCCTGGTGTGAACTCTGGAAATATAAGATTTCGACTTGGGCGCAGGACTCTGAGTCGACATTCTGAACTGTTGGGCTGAGAAAAGCCCTTAGGATCTTTTGCAGAGACTAAGTCCCAGCTGTAGAGACTTGAGACTTGGAGTAGTGCAGCGGAAGTTGAGGCAGTTGAACCCTTGTACTAGTGTGTGAGAACAAGTGATTGATTAAAGAAACAAGCATACAGCAATATATAGAAGATAAGGAAGCAGTTGTAGAATACAGTTACAGGAACGGTTTATCGAGTCGCACAGCGACTCGATTGCCGCTTCGGTTACCGTCCGTGATGTTGTAACGGTCAGTCGCAACCTCCAGTTGCGACCTTTCGAGTCCTTTCGCATTCTTTGTCCGCCCCCTCATGTAACCTCCGTTGACTCGCGTGCTCCCCTGTAATCTTCCTCGAGTACAGTGTTACACTTCAGAAACGCTTAAGTCCTTGAGATATTTCCAACACTCCCCTTCGTTTCTGGAGTGCTGGAGTGTTCAGATCCGGTGACGTTTGTTTGCCCGGTTAGGAGCATGCAGTAGTCGAATTTTGCTTTCGCCAATTTCTTCGTCAGATAATCTGCGGCCATTTCTGTCGTCGGGCAGTAACTGAGTTGAAGTCTCCCCTTCGCGATTTCATCCTTGACGAAGAAGTACCGCAGGGCGATGTGCTTGGTTCGGTTGGCGAAGCCGTCCTTGTTCGCGATTTTTATCGCAGATTGGTTGTCGCAGAGGAGTGAGAAGGTGGGCAGGGTCGCGATCTTCGCTTCTTCGAGTAACTCTCGTAGGTAGAGTCCTTCCTTGGTCGCAGTACAAAGGGCGATATACTCTGCTTCAGCCGAGGATAGTGCGATTAACTCCTGCTTGCTCGACTGCCAGGAGATAGTTCCGATAGGTTCTAGTCGGTAGATGTAGCCCGTCCTAGACCGTCGATTTTCGCTGTCTCCCGCGTGGTCGGCGTCGACGTATCCGAGTAGTCGTACGGACGGTGTTGTTGCCTTGCTGTAGGTGAGCCCGATCGTCGGCGTGGAGACGAAGTAGAGTAGCGCTCGATTGAGTTCTTCGAGATCTTCCTGTTGCGGCTGCTTCAGATGTGTCGCCAGCTGGCTCGCACTATAGGATAGGTCGGGTCGGCAGGTTACTGTTGCGAATAGTAGACAGCCGAGCTTCTGTTGATACTCCTGGATTTGTTTCGCGGGGAGTTTTGTGGAGGCGCTACTGTTGTTCCCGTAGCGGTAGGGAGTTGGGACCGCAGTCGGTGTTAGACCGAATTTCTTCGCGACGGTGCTTGAGTACTTTCCAGCGTGTAGGTAGAACGCCGTGTCGTCTTCGACGACGTTCAGTCCTAGGTACTGCGTCACCTCGTTGGACACCGTGAGCGTCAGGTCCCTTTTCAGCTCCCCTTCGAACCAGGTGACGATGTCGGTGGTAGAACCGATGTAGAGCAGGTCGTCGACGTAGACGATGAGCAGAATGTAATCTCTTCCCTTCTGTAGTCGGTACATGCCTTGGTCATGTGGTAGCTGTAGGAATCCGATTTTTACGAGCCGGCCGTGAAGGTGCTGCTGCCAGAGCCGTGGGGCTTGCTTGATCCCGTAAAGGGATTTTTCCAGCTGGCATACTTTTGAAGGGTCGTCGATGAATCCGTGGGGTTGTTCGACGAAGATTTCGGCGTCCACAGGTGCGTACAAGAAGGCGTTTGCAACGTCGATTTGCCGTAGTGGTAGTTTCTTCGTGGCCGCGATGGCGAGTAGGATGCGCAGAGAGGTGTGACGGGAGACTGGAGCGAAGGTTTCTGTGTAGTCGGTTCCGTATCGTTGATCGAAGCCTCGTACGACCCATCGAGCTTTGAATCGTTCGATGGAGCCGTCTGAGTTGGTCTTGATGCGGTACACCCATTTCCCCGAGAGAATGTTCTTCCCGTTGATGCTCGTTGCAGGTACCAGTTTCCATGTTTCTCGGTCTTGCAGAGCTTTTAACTCTTTTTCCATCGCTTCCTTCCATTGTGCCTTATGTTCCCCCCCTAGAGCCTGCGACAGGGTCGACGGCTCGCGCGGAGAAGGCGGCGGCGGGTGCTGGACGGAGACCCATAGTCCTAGGATCTGCAGTCCCGTGGCTGTGTGTCGAGGGGAGTTTTCATTCTCGGGATAAGCTGCTTCATCACCGTCTTCAGGATCGGGTAAGAAGTTTGGCCCGATGCGTTCGGAAATATTCGAGTCGACGGGGTGTGGTGTAGCGTAGCCTTGGTCAGCGAAGTGGTAAAAGGTGTCGAGGTTGTTGCTATCGAGAGGATTATCTTCATCGAGTGGAACAGGTACGGAGCAGTAGGGGAGTGGTCCGGCAGCCTCCGAGGCTCCAGGGACGTCTTCTTCTGCTGCGTCAGCCTCGGCAGCATGGTCAGCGAAGGAGCGAAGGCCCGCGAAGCCGTCGGTGGGGTCGTCTGAGTTGGCAATGTTGTCCAGGTAATGCTGCAGCGTCAGTCGCTCGTAGAAGATAACATCACGTGATGCCACCGTATTTTTGTCGTGTATGTCGAGAATCTTCCACGCGTGAAAATGTTTGGCGATGCCGAGGTGTAGTCCCCACCGAGCTCGTTGTGTGAAGCGTCCTGCTCGAGCTGTGTGGGGTCTGTATTGTACCATGCAGCCGAAAACTCGAAGTAATTTTGTGCTGCCCCTTTTTCCCGTCCACAGCAGGTGCGGTGATGCGTTGTTGGGGAGCGATGACGAGGACAACAGGTTGTGCAGGTGGACTGCATGTGTCATCGCGTCTGGCCACAGTGTATTGGGCAGCCTCATCCCCAGAAGCAGTTTTCGCATCGTCGTCTGCAAGGTCCGGTTCATGCGTTCTGCTACCCCTTGCTGCTGGTGAGCATAGGGCAGAGACACCAGGCGTCGGATTCCCCTTTCCGCGAGATAGGTCCTGAAGCGTTGTGACTGGTATTCCAGTGCACCGTCTGACTGGAAACTCTTGAGTTTGGTTCCTGACTCTCGTTCGGCGATTGGAAGCCATGTGGTGAAGGCCTCGAAGGCTTGATCGCGCGTTTTGAGATTGAAGTGCCAGACGTATCTGGTTGCGGCGTCGATGAACGTGATGACGTAGTTGAAGTCGGCTTCGGTGTCGTCTCGAGGCATGTTTAGAATATCGCTGTAGACCTTTTCCATCGGAGCGTAAGTGGGTGCGCTTGGATTGTGATGGGCTGGGAAAGGTTGATGAGGAAGATCTGCTTCGGGGCACGTGAAGCATCGTGCTCTTGGTCGGCGAAGTTCTTGGCCGCTCGTCGTTAGAAGGGCGTTACGTTCTAACACCTCTGCTTGTATTGTTTGTAGTATCGTGCTGTTTGCAGGATGTCCGAGACGTTGGTGCCAGATGTCGTCGGGAGCGCGGTGACCGGGCGAGCGGTGGTAGATGTCGGCGTTGGAGAAGAACGCGACGACCGAGGCGGGACTTCGACAAGCTTCTCGTGTGGCGGGCATAAGTTGGTCTGCTTCCGTTGGCGGTCCTCGTGTTGATGGTGGTGGTACTCGGCTGGGTCCTGCTGCCGATACTGCAGGTGATGGTTTTGTTGGGACGCTTGCTGGTACTTGTCTTTCTTGTCTGATAACTGCTAATGCCCGTGTTCTCTCTGCTGCAGGTATGGTGTTGGAGTGCCAGAAGCCGTCACTGTCGAAGTCGGGATCAAGATCTGGTGGGTGAGTCCAGGCGGCGAACGATACGATGCCATCGCTGTCGGCAGTTCCGCGGTCGGGGACGAAGTCCAACACGAAGACACCGGACTTCAGGAGGGCACGACCGATGAAGAGACCGCCCTTCCCGTGGTAAAGTCGGAACTCGTTGGAGAAGGAGTCGCACTCCAGGTGAATCCCCTTAGCCATTAGTTGGCTTACGCTTAGTAGGTTGTATCCCAGATTGTCGACGATGAGGACTTTGTTGAGCTGAAGAATAACGTTTGTCTCCATTGATTGTAACTGAACCACGCCTTGCCTGTTTGTTTTCAGGTTTTCGTTGTTGGCGACGGTGATGACGACGTCGCGGTTGAGGCGTCGCTCGTGTTGTACGAAGCGTCCGGAGGAGCACATGTGCTGACCGCAGCAACTGTCCAAGAACCAGGTGTTCCGCCCGGTGGGTTCGGCGTTAGCGACTGCAGCGTATGTCGGGTTGACCTGAAGTCCTTGCGAGCGCGGCGGCGGGAATTCCTCTTCGTCTGGTGCGTAAGTGGGTGGTGAAGCGGGTGCGCAGTTGTCGATGTGTACCATGCAGTTGATGATGTTGGGTGTTTGTTGTGCAGATGTTGAAGAGCGCCTTGGAGGACTTGCTTGAGTGGAAGCGACTTGTGGGTCTGCTGCACGGTAAACGCGAGGGCGGTTGCAGTTGACCTTGGAGTGCCCGGAAGTCTGACAGTTGTGGCAGAACGGCGGCACGATGGTGAGTCCTCGGTTGTCGCGTTGATCTTGCTTGCTGCGTCGGTTGTAGTTGTTGTCATTTCTTCTTTGAGTGTAAAAGACTAACTGCTGTTGCTTCCTTGGTTGTCTTTCCTCGAACAGATCCATCTCCTGTTGTTCAGCGTGAAGCTCGGCGCAGAGGTGCATCTCCGAAATTCTTCCGTGGGCTCGAAGAAGTGATCGTGTGGTTCTCCATTCTGGCCCGAGCCCGGCGAGGACAAGTGTCACGAAGCTTTCTTCAGTGATCGTTCCTCCGCACCGAAGCAGGCGGTCGCGGAGGGTCTGGCAGCGACTCATATACTGCATCGCCTTTTCCCCGGTCTTCATCTGTATTGTTGTCAGCTGTTGCATGAGTCTGCTTTGTGTCACGCTGTCGTTTGCTTGGTAAAGGCATTTGAGGTGGTGCCATGCGAGCTCCGCGGAGTTTCCATAACTCCGATACGTTCTGATGCTCTGCTGCTCTTGTGGTGACAGGTTTCTCAGGAGTACCGTGTACGCCAGCAGCGACTGATACGTGAAGATCTCTTGTTCCTTCCCAGTGCCGTTGCTTGGGAATGGCAGGGACCCGTTGAAGTATCCCAGAAGATGCGCGGCCTCCATCAGCAGCTCAAACTCGAAGCTCCAGGTAAAGAAGTCGTGTCCGTTGAACGGTGAGGATGTCTGAAGTTTGATCACGTGTGAGAACTGCGCCTGTAAATTTAAGATTTCGTTCGGTGTTTGTTGTGAAGCAGCTGCTGTTGGCTGGGCACGGGGCGGCATGAATTCGAACGTCCCCGGCGAAGAATGATAAGGCGCAAAGGTAGGCGCTTGGTTGTGTCGCCCGAAGGATGAGTTGTCGAGGCTCATCGGTGCTAATCCCATATTCCCTCCATTGCTCTGTGTTGAGTGCGCAGGTGTCCTTGTCTGCTGCTGCTGGTCGAAGTGTGACATGAAGCTGAAGAATCTCTCCATGAGATTCGGGTCCACACTTGAAGAGGGAGACGGAGTCACCATCTCTGGTACTCTTCCCGTTGTTTCTTGAGTAGTCCCGGTCTCTGTCTGCAGTCCTGAGGTGTGCAGACCAGAGTTGCCGTGTTGAGTTTCTTGGGCGCTGGGTGAGCCCGTAGAGACTTTCTTGCCCTTGTTGTCCATGTCTTGTAATCAATGGAGTTGTTGAATCAAGTTGAGTTGCTGGTTGTTGATGGAGTGTAGTTGCTGGGAGTTTTGATCTCTGACCAGCTCTCATACCATGTTGGGCTGAGAAAAGCCCTTAGGATCTTTTGCAGAGACTAAGTCCCAGCTGTAGAGACTTGAGACTTGGAGTAGTGCAGCGGAAGTTGAGGCAGTTGAACCCTTGTACTAGTGTGTGAGAACAAGTGATTGATTAAAGAAACAAGCATACAGCAATATATAGAAGATAAGGAAGCAGTTGTAGAATACAGTTACAGGAACGGTTTATCGAGTCGCACAGCGACTCGATTGCCGCTTCGGTTACCGTCCGTGATGTTGTAACGGTCAGTCGCAACCTCCAGTTGCGACCTTTCGAGTCCTTTCGCATTCTTTGTTCGCCCCCTCGTGTAACCTCCGTTGACTCGCGTGCTCCCCTGTAATCTTCCTCGAGTACAGTGTTACACTTCAGAAACGCTTAAGTCCTTGAGATATTTCCAACATGAACCTTGAGTATTTCAGACTCGTTGACTCTTGGACACTGAGATTTCAGAGTAGCGAAATTTCGAAATATGGCCCTTCAGACTCGGGAAATTTTTTGGGGGGCAAAACCAGAGTGCCTTTTTTTGAAACGTCAGCCCTGTGTATAGGGTTGTGCCTTAGAGAGTACAGCCCACTAGGCTATATTCCCTTGTACTCACCCATTCTAGTTATTCTCTCATTCAAACAAAGCGCCCCCCCCCCCCGCATAAACCACCCATGGAGTGACTATTTCGGCGGGTGTTGTATACGGGGGATTACGATATGTTATTTCAACAATGAATCTATACCCATTTATTCATATAAAGAAACTGATACAATACATTCATATATTGCCAAGAACACCTATCGATGACACTAAAGAAACGCCCAAAAATCAACAAGGGGACTGAGCAAAACAAAAAAGGTCTAATTTCACACAAGGCCAATCAGGGGTCAACGCTCCCCCCTACTTGCACCTTCCAGCAGCACCCCAGCTCTTCTCTGCTTCCATCTTCCAGCGAAGTTTACGGCCCAGTCCATGTGGCGCTTACGGTGACCCCTAAACCATCCAGCGCTGTTGAGGGGAGGTATTACGAAGGAGAGGCAACGGACACACGCAGGGGAGGAATGGATGCGCCAAATAGGAGTTGGTTCACTAAGACCCAGGAAAAAGCCAGGTTCTGGGAAGACCTAGGCAAACTTACTGCCACAGCCAACAGCCCCAATGGATTTGACATCTATTTAATCATTGCAAACCCGTAAATCAAGCGAGGGACTGAGAAAAACAAGAGGCAGAAATTCACAGAAGGCCAACTTACTGCCACAGCCACCGGCTCCACTGGACTTGGCATCTTTGGGATTGTTGCAAATGCAGAACGCGATCCCGTCCACCCGCCTCACGCAGTACGAGTTGTCAGGGCACTGCTCCGATTTGGGCTTGTCGATGCAGCGATCTGGAGGAGGGGTTACACGAAAAATAGACAACAAAAATATTGTACATGTTGGCTGGCACACGTCACTTGAAAGAGTGGGTTATGCGAGGGGGAGAGAAAGAAACATGTAATACAACATCCATATGTTGGATGGCTGGCGTACATCCGGCCGGTCTATGGAAGCGTTTGTAGGATACGTACTGGCACAATAGCCTTTGTACTCGTGGTAGTAAGGCTTGCACACACAGGAAGCCCACCCCGTGGCGTTCTTAGCGCACTGCTCGTTGACACCGGTGCAAGGCGACTTATCCATCAGGATGGCACAGTTATCTGACGGATGGGGGGAGGGTACGGTTAGAAATAACTTGCATGAATACTGAGAGATGCATTGGGAGTAAGACGAAAGAAACTAGGAAGTGAGGCGAATATTTGATATGGCGAAAGATGTCAAGACGGGCACACACTAGAGCCAGCACAACAGCACTCCCAGCAGCCTGCAGTGTGCGAAACAAAACGGAGCAGACAGCAGCACGTACAAGGCTATGCACAGAGAAGCACCTACCCTTGCACGTCACGCCATCTTCCTGCAGTGTATAGCCAGTGTCACAAACGCAGAATGCCGATCCATCGTCGCGGTGCTTGCAGGTGCTGTGCGCACCACAACCCTTGAGTGTGCAGGTGTCTGGGCGAGGGAAGAGGTGGAGGAGAAACAAAGGGGTAAGAGGATTGTTGAACGAGAGATGCACACATAATCACGAAATAACAGGAGAGAAATCACACACACACTCAGAATGAAGCACATGCACGCAAACCCATGCACCCACATGCACACAGACAGACTGGTGAACGTACCAGTGCACAAGCCGCCTCCTACTGGGGTATCGAAACCCAGCATGCAAGGACACGTTGCCCCACCGGCCTTAGTCCATGTGCAAAAAGAGTTGGGATCCTTTTTCTTGCAGTTCTCAATAGTGCACACGTCTGAAAGGAAGGCCAGGGAAATTGGGCAAGATGATAAGTATGAGAGAAGAATAGAAATATTTATACTGGACCGAATCCAACAACAGCTTTTGAATGCAGGGTCACACACCCGATTCAACTACCATACCCAGCACCCACATACCCAGCACCCACTGAACCCAGCACCCACCACACCCAGCACCCACCATACCCCAGCACTCACGTTCGCACGTCAACTTATCACCCAGCAACACGAAGCCAGCATCAGCATTGCAAGAACAGAATGCCGACCCATCGGTGTTATGGTCGCACGTGCCGCCCACACAGCCCTTCAGAGCGCAGGTGTCTGCAGGAGGTGCGGAGTCAGGGAGACGAGAAAGGAAGGGTGGCAGGGAGGTGATGAGTGGTATAGCTTGAAAAGGCAAAGAGAATGCACAAACACACTAATGCACAAATGCAGCCAAAGAGCGCAGGCACACAAAAGGACGCAGACAGAACACAGACAGATAGCAAGACCGGTGAACGTACCAGTGCATACGCCTCCTGACAGCACGAAGTTATTCAGGCATGCACAGTGCACATCGGTCTTATTCTGCGGATTCACGATACACTCGGACTTGGTGTCTTTGGTAGCACAGGCCTGCACCAAACACGCATCTGAAAGGAGGACCAGAGGAGAGGCAGGAGGGTCAGAACGTATTGGACAAGAAATCCAGCACGCAAGCATGCACAGAACGAGACCAGTGAACGTACCAGTGCATTTGCCTCCTGACAGCACGTAGCCTTCCACGCATGCACAGTGCACATCGGTCAGATTCAGCGGATTCCTGATGCACTCGGATTTGGTGTCTTTGATTGCACAGGCCTCGAGCTCACATGCGTCTGAAAGGACGGGCAGAAAGGAGGGGCAGCGAGGAGAGCCAGCAGGGTTAGAACGCATTCAACAAGAAATCCAGCACAAACACGCCCACATGCACACTCGGAACGAGACTGGTAACGTACCAACGCATGTGCCTCCTGACAGCACGTAGCCATCCTTGCATGCACAGAGCACGTCGGATGCATTCATTGGATTCCTGATGCACTGCCCAAACTCGCCAAGGGCAGCACAGCCCTCCACCTGACATGCATCTGCAAAGTGGGCAAGAAATGAGCGCCAGAAGGGTGAGGAAGCGTTGAACAAGAGATCAAGCATACAGACGCGCACACACTCCCTATGCCGCAGCACTCTCCCTATCCAGCACCCACTCTTGCACGTAATCGCATGAGCCAGCAGAACGAGGCACCCACCCTGTCACACCCACCAGCACCCACCCACTCCAACACACCTTTGCAGGTGACCGTGTCAGCCAGCAGCACTTTGCCACTGGTCTCCATATCACAGTCACACACTGCCACTCCATCACTCTGGCTGCACGTCCCGCCGCCCAAACACCCCTTGAGGTCGCACTTGTCTGGGATGGGAGGGGCGGAGGGGAGTCAACAAAACGCAAATTAAAAGCCAGCCCCAGCGACACAGCCTACAGACGGCCACTCCATGCCGCCATGGCTGCACATGTCACCCACAGACGCCGTCAGCTCACATGTGTCCGGGTGAGGAGGGGGGTGGAGGAGACACGGAAGGGCAAGAGGCGGGAAAGGAACAAGAGGTAGCAGGGCAGAGGGTATATGAAAGAAACTAAATGTAGGCGCAAACGAGACAGGTGAACGCACCAATGCATGTGCCGTCCTCCGCCAGCGCATATCCGTCCTCGCATTCACAGCGCACGTCAGCCAGATTGTCAACATTCCTGGCACACGTGAAATTGGTGCGACACGCCTCGAGCACACATGCATCTGAAGGGAGGGCCAGAAAGAACCAAACAAGAAAGAGATGGCGAAATGAGAGAAGCATGAGGCGGCTCTAGCACGGGCCCACACTAGAGCAGCACAACAGCACACAATCTTTCAAACAAAACAGCACACACCGCATCAGCACCCACCTACTCCCACGTACCTTGGCACGTGACCATGTCCTCCAGCAGTTTGAGGCCAGTGGTCGCACCATGGCAGTCACACACTGCCTCTCCATCGATCTGGCTGCACGTGCCACCCAAACACCCCTTGAGGTCGCACTTGTCTGGGGAGGGCGGGGCGGAGGGGAGTCAACAGGAGATACAAGAGTCAACAGCAGCCCACGCTGTCAGCTCGCACGTGTCCGTGTGACACAGAAGCTAGGAGGGGTGGAGGAGACGCACAAGGACGAGTGTAGGGGGAGGGAACAAAAGCTAGCATAGCAGAAAAGGAAAGAACATGACAAAGACAAAAAGCACCTACAGTTGCACGGTCAGAGACGCACGTTCAAGGAGACAAAGTGAACGCACCAATGCATGTGCCGTCCTCCGCCAGCGCGTATCCGTCCTCGCATTCACAGCGCACGTTGGCAAGATTGTCAACATTCCTGGCACACGTGAAATTGGTGCGACACGCCTCGAGCACACATGCATCTGAAGGGAGGGCCAGAAAGAACCAAACAAGAAAAGAGACGGCGAAATGAGAGAAGCATGAGGCGGCTCTAGTACGGGCCCACGCTAGAGCAGCACAACAGCACACAATCTTTCAAACAAAACAGCACACACCGCATCAGCACCCACCTACTCCCACGTACCTTGGCACGTGACCATGTCCTCCAGCAGTTTGAGGCCAGTGGTCGCACCATGGCAGTCACACACTGCCTCTCCATCGATCTGGCTGCACGTGCCACCCAAACACCCCTTGAGGTCGCACTTGTCTGGGGAGGGCGGGGCGGAGGGGAGTCAACAGGAGATACAAGAGTCAACAGCAGCCCACGCTGTCAGCTCGCACGTGTCCGTGTGACACAGAAGCTAGGAGGGGTGGAGGAGACGCACAAGGACGAGTGTAGGGGGAGGGAACAAAAGCTAGCATAGCAGAAAAGGAAAGAACATGACAAAGACAAAAAGCACCTACAGTTGCACGGTCAGAGACGCACGTTCAAGGAGACAAAGTGAACGCACCAATGCATGTGCCGTCCTCCGCCAGCGCGTATCCGTCCTCGCATTCACAGCGCACGTTGGCAAGATTGTCAACATTCCTGGCACACGTGAAATTGGTGCGACACGCCTCGAGCACACATGCATCTGAAGGGAGGGCCAGAAAGAACCAAACAAGAAAAGAGACGGCGAAATGAGAGAAGCATGAGGCGGCTCTAGCACGGGCCCACACTAGAGCAGCACAACAGTAGACATGAGAAAAACCGGGTAATTACCCGACCCGACCCGGTTTTGCACTACCCGCAACCGGGTCCGGGTCGGGTCGGGTCGGGAAATTTCCGGGTAATGTTTGGAGGTCTGTTGCCCGACCCAACATTTTAATACCGGGTAATTGGGTACCCGTCTGTCGGGTCGGGTATACCCGACCCGCATTTAATTGAAGTCGGGTAATATTACCCGGGTACCCCTAGGTGGCTGTAAAATTCAGCAAACCCAGAGTAACAAACCCAAAGTGGGGTCGGGTACCCGCGACCCGACGGGTAATAAATTACCCGACATTTCGGGTAATTCTTGGGTAACGAGTATGCATTACCCGGCTCGAGTACCCGACCCGACCCGGCCGGGTAATTCGTCAAAATCCTATTACCCGACCCGGCCAAAATGTCGGGTCGGGTCGGGTATCCGTGACCCGACTGGGTAAAATGCTCAAGTCTACACAACAGCACACAATCTTTCAAACAAAACAGCACACACCACATCAGCATACACCTACTCCCACGTACCTTGGCACGTGACCGTGTCCTCCAGCAGCTTGAGGCCAGTGGTCGCACCATGGCAGTCACACACTGCCTCTCCATCGATCTGGCTGCACGTGCCACCCAAACACCCCTTGAGGTCACACTTGTCTGGGGAGGGCGGGGCGGAGGGGAGTCAACAGGAGATACAAGAGTCAACAGCAGCCCACGCTGTCAGCTCGCACGTGTCCGTGTGACACAGAAGCTAGGAGGGGTGGAGGAGACGCACAAGGACGAGTGTAGGGGGAGGGAACAAAAGCTAGCATAGCAGAAAAGGAAAGAACATGAAAAAGACGAAAAGCACCTACAGTTGCACGGTTAGAGACGCACGTACAAGGAGACAAAGTGAACGCACCAATGCATGTGCCGTCCTCCGCCAGCGCGTATCCGTCCTCGCATTCACAGCGCACGTTGGCCAGATTGTCAACATTCCTGGCACACGTGAAATTGGTGCGACACGCCTCGAGCACACATGCATCTGAAGGGAGGGCCAGAAAGAACCAAACAAGAAAAGAGACGGCGAAATGAGAGAAGCATGAGGCGGCTCTAGTACGGGCCCACGCTAGAGCAGCACAACAGCACACAATCTTTCAAACAAAACAGCACACACCACATCAGCACCCACCTACTCCCACGTACCTTGGCACGTGACCGTGTCCTCCAGCAGTTTGAGGCCAGTGGTCGCACCATGGCAGTCACACACTGCCTCTCCATCGATCTGGCTGCACGTGCCACCCAAACACCCCTTGAGGTCGCACTTGTCTGGAAGGGGCGGGGCGGAGGAGACGTAAAAGGACGAAAAGGAGGGGGGGGGAGAGGGGAGAGTGAACACGAGGTAGCACAGAGAAAAGGAAAGTAAATGAAATAACGAAAAGCAGACACAGACGCACACACACAGTGAGATGGGTGAATTTGTCCACACACAGACGCACCAATGCATTTGTCCCCTGACAGCGCGTATCCCTCCTGGCATTCACAATTCACGTCGGCCAGATTGTCGGGATTTCTGGCACACGTGAAATTGGTGCGACAGGCCGCGACCTCACATGCATCTGAAAGGAGGTCCAGCGAGCGTTGGGCAAGGGACGAGAGGGCAGAATTAGAGAAGCATGAGGCGGCTCTAAGTACGGGGCACAGTAGCAAACAGCAGGGGCACACACTAGAGCAGCACAACAGCACACAGCAACAGCACAACAGCACAACAGCACAGTCCTTATTGGGCACCTACCCTTGCACGTCTTGGTGTCTTCCAGCAGCACGAGGCCAATGGTATTGTTGCAATGACAGACTGCCGCCCCAGCAGCGTCCTTGGTGCACGTGCCGTCACACGCCTTGTTCACACACGTGTCTGGGAGGGGAGGGAGCAGGGAGGAAGACGAATTTATACGAGGGGAAAGAGAGCAAGGAGGTGAGAATGGAAAGGAAGCAGCTGGTTTCCACGCGACCTCAAGCAGCACGCATTACCTCAACAGCTCAGCGGCACAGCAGCACTCAGCAGTCAACAGCACAGCGTCACGTGAGTAGGGGTCATGTTGCATATCCAGTTGCACACACATGATTCGCCAACCTCTCCTCCTTTCTGGTCGACTCAAGAGTTGCACTGCACTCACCAACGCAGACGCCATCGGGGGTCATGATGTAGCCCCAGTTGCACACACACTTGGCCAACGAGTCCTCCTCCTTCACGCACGTCGAATGCGGGTCACACACCAAGATGGCGCACGAGTCTGCGGGGTTAGAGGGGAAGCGAAGGCGGGGGATGGGGTGTGGAAAAGAGATAAGGTGACATGCGCTGTGATGAGGTGAAACGGTGTGGAATGGAGATGTGCGCAGGGCCAGGGGGCCAGGGGGCAAGGCAAGAATGGGAAGAACCAGGGCAGGGCGCCAGGAGGAACACTCTAAACCTTAAACCCTTGACCCTGAACCCTCACGCTGCATCTATGCAAGGAAAAGGACAGGCGGCGTTGCGGCACTCACGGGCGCAGGAGGCGTTGGGCAGCAGCTGGAAGCCCTTGAGGCACACGCAGTTGGCCCAGCCGGCCTCGTCCTTGAGGCACTTGGAGTTGGTGCCGCAGTTGCGGATTGCGCAGGTGTCTGGTGCAGGCAGGCACGTGGAAGGTGCAGGCAGGCACGTGGGGGGCGCAGGGCAGTCGTGGAGGCAGAACAAAGAAGGGGAGAGGAGAGTGAGTTAAAGGCGAAACCCTACGAGGAACGTAACAGGCATGATGAGCGCATAAGAAAGCACGTTGAACAGAATGCAAGAACGCAGCAAGGGGAGAGAATGAAAGAGAGCGCGCCAGGTAGAGCAGCAGAGGCCACCCACCAGCGCAGTTGCCTGACGCGTCCCTGCCGTGCCCCCATTTGCAGGGCGTGGTCGACGGCAGGCGGATGGCGGCAGCCATGGGCGCACAGGCGGAGAGCACGAGGGCCACGAGCGCCGCAGCAAGCACCAGACGACCCATGATGGTGATGATGGAACGATGGTGATGACGGCGATGACGTCACGAGCTGAGATTGCACCCTCGGAGGTATCACGTGGAGATGACCCCTTGACAGCAGCAGGAGCAGCAACAGCAGGAGATAGCGAGATGGAGCCGCAGCAGAACTAATAGGTGTGCGTGTGGTAGGAGTCGTAAGGGTCAGCGGAGTTCTCGGGGAGCACGTGCAGCACTAGTACTGTGGTACTAGTGGCTTGCAACAAGGGGCGCAAAGGCTGAGAGGCTCTCAAAGCCAAGGCTGTGGTGAAGGAGAGGCCGAGAGGGGGGATTAAATACCTCACGGACCCCCCCGTGAGAGGGAGACTCGCTGCGGTGGGAAGGCCCACGGGGGGGGGAGTTCGGCGCAACGTCCCCCCCGGCGGAGGAATCCGCGGGCGAATGAGAGTCCCCCTCCAGAAAAAAACGCTTGACTTGACCCCTTGACTACCATCGTGCGCGGCATCCGCGCTTATGTCCTAGGAGAAAGGGTTTCAAAGTGCCTCGTGAGAGCCTTTCTGCACGGAGTGGGCCGTGAGTGGGCTGGAGTGGGCTGGCGAGAAGAAAAGGAGTGGGCTGGCGGCGGAAGGAGCGGGGTGGCGCGTGAGAGCACTGCCTGCCAGTAATGCGCGTTGGAAAGATTGCGTGGCCAGCGAGGCAGGGTTTGGGAAAGCCATGGCCAAACTCAAGAAGCGTCGTGACGTGTCGACCCCGACCCGACCCGAATCGAATCCCCGATACCGACTCATTCTAAATACTCAACCCTAATTCGCTGTGGGGTTCGCCAGCAGAGCAGACGAGAACCGTTGACCGCCAGCGGACCATCGAAGGAGGCAGCGCCGCAAAATGGGACGAGAATAGGACGAGGATGGACACAGGCGCGAACGAGCATTTTGTATGGGGGGACACGGGTGTGAGTCGGACTATTTCACAAGATGCAATTGGCAGAAACGGCTGCATGACTACAGACATGGGATCTTCCAATCAGACTACAGCGGTGTGGTGCGCAACCAGTAAGGTCTCTCGCCTTGTCACGCGGGGGCGAGTGCCCTAATTCGCCGAGAGCCCGGCCTAAAAGAACCGCTTTGGAGGGAGTTCCATTGACAAGCCCTGCGCAGAGCAGCCGCGACAGCAAAGCCCACCCTTCTCTGCCGCGTTAGAGCAGACAAGTTCAATTGACTGCCGTGGGCCACAGAATAAGCCAGCAAGACTGTCTGTGGGCAGAAGGCAGCAGAGCGGGCGAGCTTGAGAGACTGCCGCCGAGACGACTCCGACTCCGACTCGACTCTTGGGCGCCTACTACTACTACGCGGCAAAGGCAGCGCCGCAAAACGCGACGAGAGGATGGCACGCAGGCGCGAACGAACGAGCCCGTCTGTGCGGCGGGCACGGCCCGGTGCGAGCAACTCTGAGTCCGCGGCCCGGATTTTCGTGGCGTGCGATTGGCAGGGGCGATTGCCGATGATGCGGGTGGGAGGTGTGTGGGTGGGAGGACGACTAGTGCGAATGTGTGGGATATGGGGGACGACTATCGGTGAACGACGATTGATCGCGAGGATCAACTCAACTCAAGGTCTCTATGCTTGCCACGTGCGGCGAGCGCCCAAATTCGCGGCGAGAACCCGACCAAATGGCCCGCTTGAAGAGTGGAAAGTGGCTCTGGTAGTAGAGCCAAAAATGCCCGCTTGAGACGAATGGAAGGGGCTCTAGATCCAAACAGGCCCGCTTGAGATCTTCCATTCTCGAGGTGAAGTCCAAGGGGCTTTGAGAGCCAAAAGAGCCACTGGCGGCCAGTCTGGCTTTCGTCGTTTCTAGCATGACAGGCCACTAGATCCAGAGGCGACAAGCGTTCCGGGTGGGTAGACTGTGTGGCTCGGCGTCAGCTGGTGGCGTTGCGGGGTCTGGACTGGAGCAGGATGGATCTAGCACGCAAGAGAAACAAGCGCGGAAGCGACGCAAGCGCGGAAGAGAAACTTACGTGGTGGGAGGGCTCTGTGGGAGGTGAGGTGAGTCGAGGACGACAACGAGTCAAGGGGCTTTGGCTCCTTGTTGGACGACGAGGGGAAGGAAACCAGGACAGGTGACAGCACTGGGCAGTCTACTGTGCAAGCGTGCGATAGACTCTGTTTCGTTAGGTCCTTTCGTTGGCCGGCAGAAGTGGGTACGACGCTGATGTAAATGGCGAAATCACATCGTGCGGTTCGTCAGCACGGTAACTCCTCTGTTTCTAAGCCTCGCTATTTCGTCGCCACTGTAGCGTCAACAACGGTGGTAACCCGCTATGGGAGTCTGCGACATCCAACCTGCGCTACTTTGACCAGCCTCGTAGTGTAACAAATATTGTTATCAGTCTCTGGTGCAGCTCGGTTGGGCACATTTTGGTGGTCTATGCGCCTTTGTAGTCTTCAGTACGATCACTTTTTCAAAAATGGCACTCAGGATGCGCCCTTACATTTTTGGGTTGCGTAGCAACCCAATAAAATCGGTTTCACATTTAGGAGCATTAATACGAACAGTAAAAATTTTAAGAATTTAGTTAACTGTTCGGTGCAACTCCAAAATATGAAACAAATGTCCAAAGTGCTCCATCGCGTCGATAAGTACGGCGGATGAAACAATCACACCGCATGACATATTTCAACAAAATTTGATGTATAATCAAACATCCTGTAGGATTGCAAATGCCAAGAAATGAGTGCATATAGGCATTAGTAGTATTGCAGTAGAGATTGATGGGGTGCACGATGACAGCAGAGCTGCCCCGGACACGAGGACAATCTCTAATTGCAACACCTAGCATATAAGCAGCACACTCGAGGCAAACACAATCCAAATCCACCTTGTGCCAGCCACCCCATCTCGTCGATAAATACGGTGGATGGAATGAACATGTATGTACGATAGGATTGTAAGTGCTACGAAATGATTGCATATATGCATCAATGCTGCAACAGAGATTGATGGGGTGCGCGATGACAACAGAGTTGCCCAAGGCACGATGACAACCTCTAATTGCAACACCTTGCATATAAGCAGCACGTCCGAAGCAGACACAATCCACACCTTATCACATTTGCAGCCACACTCACTATGCACATAGAGACTAAGAGCTGCAGACACACCCCGAAACCGACAGTATTTATCACACCCCTCTCATGCAAACAATCAAGCAAACACATGCAGCATCGCAAATAGCCTAGTAGTTGGAGTCCCCTATATCCAAATTAGAGAACGGTGATAACGTCGTGCATTTACAAATTTGTCCCCGCATGATGTTCCAACAAGCAATAGAAATTGGTGTTGGAGATGTTCTTTGTCTTGCAGCTGGAACAGACAGCGCGTGCTACATGACCTGCACAGTACACCAGTGAATCATAGAAACACAACATACGTTCAAAAGAGGACCACATAATTTGTTTATATACACTCATGGTGTTACATATTGCGTTTGGCGTTGAAGGTTTAGTGCGGAAGTACTACATGGGATAGAAGGGAGGAAGAGAATAACAAAAGCGGAGGGAGAAAAAGGGCAGTAAGGAGAAAATTATAGACTGAAATTGTGGGGACGCTGGCGATGACCTACGTGGTACCTATGAATGAATGAAGGGATGGAAAGAGGAGAAGGAGGGGTTAAAAGGAGGGGGACACGCTAAAAACGAAAATGTGGCATGAGCAAAATGCCATAGCAGACGGCGCCAGCACGCACGTCACCAGCACAGACCGGGCCAGTGCGGGCAGCGCCAGCTCGCACGGCATCGAATGCTATGCCCATACATGCATACAGCCAGGCACGTTATGCACATACACGCATACAACTAGGCATGCTATGCCCATACACGCATACAGCCAGGCATTCTATGCCCACACATGCATACAGCCATGCATGCTATGCCCATACATGCATACAACAAGGTATGATATGCCCATACACACAAACAGCTAGGCATGCTATGCCCATACACACATACAGCTAGGCATGCCATCCCCATATACACATAGAGTGAGGCATGCCATCCCCATACAAACACAGAGCCAGGCATGCTATGCCCATACACAAATACAGCATGGCATACTATGCCCATACATGCATACAGTCAGACACGTTATGCAAATACACGCATACAACTAGGCATGCTATGCTCATACACACGTACAGCCAGGCATGCTATGCCCATACACACATACAGCCTGGCATGCTATGCCCATACATGCATACAGCCAGGCACGTTATGCACATACACGCATAGAACTAGGCATGCTATGCCCATACATGCGTACAGCCAGGCCCATTATGCACATACACGCATACAATTAGGCATGCAATGCCCATACACACATACAGCCAGGCATGCTATGCCCATACACACATACAGCTAGGCATGCCATCCCCATACACACATACAGCAAGGCATACCATGCCCATACACACACACAGCCAGGCATGCTATGCCCATATACACATACAGCCAGGCATGTTATACCCATACACACAAACAGCCTGGCATGGTATGCCCATACATGCGTACAGTCAGGCACGTTATGCACATACACGCATACAACTAGGCATGCTATGCCCATACACACATACAGCCAGGCATTCTATGCCCATACATGCATACAGCCATGCATGCTATGCCCATACATGCATAAAATACAACTACGTATGCTATGCCCATACACACACACAACCAGGCATGCTATGCCCATACACACATACAGCTAGGCATGCCATCCCCATACACACATACAGCCAGGCATACCATGCCCATACACACACACAGCCAGGCATGCTATGCCGATATAGACATATGGTCAGGCATGCCATGCCCATACACTCACACAGCCAGGCATGCTATGCCCAAACACACATACAGCCTGGCATGCTATGCCCATACATGCATCCACCCAGGCACCTTATGCACATACACGCATACAATGAGGCATGCTATGCCCATACACACATACAGCCAGGCATGCTATGCCCATACACACATACAGCGTGGCATGCTATGCCCATACATGCGTACAGCCAGGCACGTTATGCACATACACGCATACAACTAGGCATGCTATGCCCATACACACATACAGCCAAGCATGCTATGCCCATACAAGCATACAGCCGTGCATGCTATGCCCATACATGCATACAATACAACTAGGTATGCCATGCCCATACACACCTACAGCCAAGAATGCTATGCCCATACACACATACAGCTAGGCATGCCATCCCCATACACACATACAGCCACGCATACCATGCCCATACACACACACAGCCAGGCATGCTATGCCCATATACACATACGGTCACGCATGCCATGCCCATACACACACTGCCAGGCATGCTATGCCCAAACACACATACAGCCTGGCATGCTATCCCCATACATGCATACAGCCAGGCACGTTATGCACATACACGCATACAACTAGGCATGCTATGCCCATACACACATACAGCCAGGCATGCTATGCCCACACACACATACAGCGTGGCATGCTATGCCCATACATGCGTACAGCCAGGCACGTTATGCACATACACGCATACAACTAGGCATGCTATGCCCATACACACATACAGCCAAGCATGCTATGCCCATAGATGCATACAGCCATGCATGCTATGCCCATACATGCGTACAATACAACAAGGCATACCATGCCCATACACACATACAGCCAGGCATGCTATGCCCATAGACACATACAGCTAGGCATGCCATCCCCATACACGCATACAGCCAGGCACGTTATGCACATACATGCATACAACTAGGCATGCTATGAACATACACACATACAGCCTGGCATGCTATGCCCATACATGCGTACAGCCAGGCACGTTATGCACATACACGCATCCAACTAGGCATGCTAAGCCCATACACACATACAGCCAGGCATTCTATGCCCATACATGCATACAGCCATGCATGCTATGCCCATACATCCATAAAATACAACTAGGTATGGTATGCCCATACACACACACAGCCAGGCATGCTATGCCCATACACACATACAGCTAGGCATACCATGCCCATACACACACACAGTCAGGCATGCCATGCCCATACACACACACAGCCAGGCATGCTATGCCCATACACACATACAGCCTGGCATGCTATGCCCATACATGCATACAGCCAGGCACGTTATGCACATACACGCATACAACTAGGCATGCTATGCCCATACACACATACAGCCAGGCTTGCTATGCCCATACACACATACAGCCTGGCATGCTATGCCCATACATGCGTACAGCCAGGCACGTTATGCACATACACGCATACAACTAGGCATGCTATGCCCATACACACATACAGCCAAGCATGCGATGCCCATACATGCATACAGCCATGCATGCTATGCCAATTCATGCATACAATACAACTAGGTATGCTATGCCCATACACACATACAGCCAGGCATGCTATGCCCATCCACACATACAGCTAGGCATGCCATCCCCATACACACATACAGCCAGGCATACCATGCCCATACACACACACAGCCAGGCATGCTATGCCCACATACACATATAGACAGGCATGCCATGCCCATACACACACACAGTCAGGCATGCTATGCCCATATACACATACAGGCCTGCATGCTATGCCCATACATGCATACAGCCATGCATGCTATGCCCATACATGCATACAACTAGGTATGCTATGCCCATACACACATACAGCCAGGCATGCTATCCCCATACACACATACAGCTAGGCATGCCATCCCCATAAACACATACAGCCAGGCATACCATGCGCATACATGCATACAGACATGCATGCTATGCCCATGCACGCATACAGCCCGGCATTCTATGCCCATACATGCATACAGCCATGCATGCTATGCCCATACATGCATACAACTAGGTATGCTATGCCATACACACATACAGCTAGGCATGCTATGCCCATACACACATACAGCTAGGCATGCCATCCCCATACACA